GGAGGGGGTGAGGGGTGTGGGCTCTGGGAGGGAATTTGGGTGTAGGAGGGAGCTCAGGGCTGGGGCAGAGGGTTGGGGTGCAGGGGGGGTGAGGGGTGTAGGCTCTGGCCAGGCGGCGCTTACCTCGGGTGGCTCCTGGGAAACGGCCAGCATGTGCAGCTCCTAGGCTCAGGGGCAACCAGGCTGCTCTGCATGCTGCCTCTGCCCACAGGCACTGCCCCCGCCCCCAGGCACTGCCCCCACAGACCCCATTGGCTGTAGTTCCCAGCCAATGGGAACTGCGGAGTCAGTTCTTGGGTGGGGGCAGCACACGGAGACCCTGTGGCTACCCCTGTGCCTAGAAGCCAGACATGTAGGTTGCTTCCAGGAGCTGCATGGAGCCACGGCAGTTAGGGAGCTTGCCTTAGCCCCACTGCACTGCCAGTTTTAGCAGCCTAAAATCTCCTAGATCAGCTTCAGTAGCCTGTGGGAGATTGAGCCTGATTCTGGGAGACTCCCGGGCAATCCAGGAGAGTTGGCAACTCTAGGTAATATCTTTTATTGGACCAACTTCTGTTGGTGAGAGACACAAGCTTTCAAGTTTACGCAGAGCTCTTCTTCAGTTCTGTGTAATCTCAAAAGCTTGTCTCTCCCACCAACAGAAGTTGATCCAGTAAAAGATATTACCTCCCACACCTGGTCTCTAATATCCCGGGACTGACACTGCTACAGTAGCATTGCATCCTGCAATCTTTACTCATTCAAGTAGTCCAATTGATGGCAATGGGGAGCACTTCATATTAGTAAGTGTTACTTGCAGGATTCCCATGTGAGTTTATGCTTTGCATAGATTGGTAATGAAGCTCTCTAGAGTTCATACAAAAGGTTATGCTTAACTGGTCTTTCTCTTATTCAAATAATTCTCTCTCTTCCTTTAATTTGGTCTCTTTTTTTCTCTGCCAATAATCCTTGCACTGGTCTAATCAAAAAATGAACATAAACCGATCATATAGAAGTGTTATTTGAGAACGGTTTTGTCTTACGTTGCAGTGTTTTTCTCTGGAATTCTGACACTTGCTTATATGGAACAAAAGTCCAGGTTTTGCATTAATGAATAATGATGATTTATCTGACAAGAACAAAACAAAAGGAGAAGAAGAAAGAGAGAATCTATTTGCAAAACATTTCCTGAAGTCAGGGCATGGCAACTCCGTCTTTAAACATCCTGTAATTTTAAAAGCAAGGCTGTTCAAACAAAGTGAAAGGGGTTATTATTTGAGAAAGATTATAAATTTTGGATTAAGGCTTTTAATATAGTGAACAAACCAAACTAAATGCTGAACAACTTCAGCAGTGAAATAACTGTCATGATTTTTGCCCTGCTTGTCATCATTAACTGAATGATAGTTCCACCCACAAGTCACTAGAACCATGACAAACTCTGTAATGTCAGGATGACAACTTTTCTCATCCAAATGAGAAAATAACGCAAGAAAATGTCACGGTTCCCAGATAGACGCCTTCTGACAAAACAAAGTTAAATGACACCACAACAGTTTTTCTCAGCAGATGCCTTTTACTGTAACTTTGATTCTTAGAAACATGCTTGTAATACTGCACGGATACACTAACCATAAATAGAGACCTTGGGTCTGATTCTCCATTGCACTTGCTAATCAGGATCTGTGTCGTGCTTTTGATTGTGTTTACATTAGAGAACTGAACCATTCATAATTGAAGCAAGAGGACAGAACCAGTTGAAGCATGAACATGCTGATTTACTTTCTGCAATGCTGCAGTTTCGGCCTGTGCCATAATATTGTTTTTCTAATGTGTTTCAATTGCAATGGTCTCTGGTAACTTACTGCACAAAAGCAGTGGGTTCTGGAAAACTTCAAAAGAACCCTAATGCACAGTCAGGAAGCAGTGGGAGGACCACCTCACTGTTTTCATTGTGACCTGTTTTAGTGTAGTCTACACTGGCACTGAGGACCTGATCCTGCAAGTACTCACACTGATGGGAATAACTTCATTCCTGTGAGGAGTCCCATTGAAGGCAATAGGAATACAGACATGAGTACATTTAAGCACATGCACAAGAGTTTGCAGGATTGGGAGCTAAGACCATGAGCCTGCAATGAGCTCCTTGAGAACAGATCCCTGCACCTCGGTGTGCAGGGATTCACCCATTCAGAGCTCATTGAGAAGTTTGCAACCATGATTGCAACTCTCCATCCTTTTTTAAGTAAAAATATAATGCTTTTAATGAGTGCTTCTATCAAGGACACATGCTTAACCAGGACAGACAAGAGGATACAGCACCTGCAGTCTTTTCCAATTACTAAGAGTACAGTAAATTGAAGGATATATATTTTATTTCTAATAATGCAGCTCCTCTGGTAATTAATGAGATAATATACGTAGGTATAATTATTCAATAGTTACATCATGATAGCTCCCAGAGGCCTCAATCAGGACTGGGGTCCCATTGCTGTACCAACATAAGGATAGACATGATTAGTACACTGCATAACAATATCCTGGCTGTGTACATACATCACTTTTGCCTGCATTTTCTTTGACTCTTTTCTATCTATGATATTTTTGGTGTTTTAGGGCCTGGATAACAGGATCCGCTAGCGCCCATGCGGAATCTCACTGAGGTCAACCTCTGCCATTTCTAGCGTTGATCTACAATCAGTGGGTCTTAGGTTCCTATGTTACTTAGGTGGTTTTGAAAAGTGTACTCCTTGTCTTAATGTTAGTGATACAGAGACACTCATACTCGTGTACGTTGGTCGAAATTGAAGAGTACACCCTGGATCAAATATGTCACCCCCAAATAATAAATATAAACAGAGACAAACAATTTTTGCCCTTGTAAATGCAACAAAGCATGTGAGTTCACCTTCTATGCACTGAAATTGAATGCACGGTTAGTTTCATGATTATTCTTTGTGTCCTGGGTAATAAATTGTGATTTTGAGACCAGGACCATTAATTTAAAACAACTCTTAGTTATTTTAACAGACAATTTAAGGAGCCAGGTTTTTCACTGGTTTGAGTTTTGGGTAAATACAGCTGTGCCAAGTGGGTGTAGAACCATTCCCAGTTGTCGCTTGATTGTGTTTTACACTCGCTGCACACTCACTTTACGCAGGTGTCTTCCATTTATATTTCCATTTGTTTCCCAAGCATTCTTGTGTAAAACCCCTTGTACCCACACATAAAAGTGCTCCAGATGCTTTGTGTGCACCAAATACTGTTAGGATTGCTTTCATCAGGTCTAAAGATTGACACAGACTAAATAATTCCTGCACTGGGTTGAAATGTAGGGCTTGATCCTGCAAGGTGCTAAGCAAAGGAATATTGGAGACAATGGAGGTTGAGATTGCTCAGCAACTCACACAATCAAGCTCCACAAGAACTTACTTTTATTTTGTATTAAATGGGTAAACTGAAGAGAGATTGAGTTACATGGCCAAGATCATGCAGGCAGGAATGTGCAAAGTCAGGAATAAAACTTAAGCCAGTCCCTTAATTTATCTGCTCCATACATACTTCCTCTATTACAGAGCCTATATAAATAAGGCTATTATACTACATTGCACTGCACATGGGAGGTGTGATTGCAGCAAGTAAAGACTTTCATATAAGGCAGTGAAGCCACAGTAGCACAGGCGGCAGTGTTGAGCTAACCCATCTGCCCAGGACCCTGGGTCCCATACTCCAGCAATAATCGCATATACCATATTATCCTTACAGCCCTTGTTATCTCTTGTTAAAATCCATTTACTTGGAGAGTTTGCGGAGCCATAATGTTTCTCAAACGGTCTTTCTTCTTTATGCTTTCCTGGGAGTCCCTAAAAGTATATCCCTCCTCTCCTGCCACAGATCTCTTCATTCTGTGAGATTCTTTCTGTTGTACAGACAGACATGATCTCCCATCTCCCCTGCACACTCACATGTTCATTCTCTCTCTCTCTCTCTCTCTCTCATATTCACATAATTTATTCATCCCAATGATGTGTCCATTAATTATTCAGGTTTTTTTTTCTTTAACTGGCAGTTTTAGAGATATTCAGAGATGTAAAAGCATAACATCAGGGTCAGCATAGTTGGTGAACAAAGTGTTCATGTGTGGAACATTCAAAGAGGTCTCTCTCTTCCTATCCTTCCAGACTAGTGTCTTCCCTGTCACATGCTATTGCTTACTTATGGCCTCATCCATCAAGCCTGCAGAAATCTCAAGTGTGCAGAAATCTCACTGGTTTCAATAATTTCCTGCACTGACAGTATCCCTTATACTATGGAGTATGTAGCTTTGCAAAGGAAAGATGTTGTCGTTGTTATTATTTGGATTGTGGCAGTACATAGAAGTCCCAGGCATGGACCAGGTTGTGCTAGATCAGGGGTTCTCAAACTGGGGGTCACAAGTTGGCATAGGACTGACAGCCTGAGCCCCTCTTAAATTAAATTTAAATTAAATCCCCCCTTTTAATTTATAACGGGGGAGGGGGTCACACTCAGAGACTTGCTGTGTGAAAGGAGTTGCCCTTTCAAAACAAAAAGTTAGAGAATCACTGGGCTAGATACTGCAGATTTAACTGAAGAGCAGCTCCCAACCCCCCACCTCCAAGCAAAGCAGTTGCTGCTTTATTTCCATTCAGATGCAGAATGTTACAGTGTAAAGCACTGACCCTGGAAGCACTTACACATGTACTTAACTTTAAGCATGTGATTAGCCTAGCTGATTTCAATGGGCTTCTCCATGTGTTGTTTAAAATTAAGCATTTGCAGGATTATGGCTTATTTGTCTGTATTTCTTCCGTCTTTGTTTTAATAATAAAGCTGAAAAATACCTGTTTTCCTCATAGTGTATGTGAAAATATAACAGCTCCAACAACCAAACTGTTAATAATTTAGCGAAATAACTTACTTCAAGCAGCCTTTATTTAAACTGAGTATATTTAATATTATCTCTTTCATTCTTTTGTTATTTGTGCTGCTGAATCTGTAAGGTGGACAAGATTGCCAGTCTCTACAACATACATATTCGTACAGGATGTTTCTGTAACACTGGCGCCTGCCAGCAGCATTTGAGGCTCAGCAATGAGGATGTCAAAAGGAACCTTCAGGTCAGGATCAAATCCTGTTGAGGCCAAGTAAAATCACTTGAATGATTGAATAATGAGAGGGTTGAAGGGAAGAATAAAAACTGAGTATTGTTAAACGTGGGTTTAAAGCATGTATATACCTCATGTATCACGGGGCATGAGTTTTAGATTTGGGAGGGAGACAATTTATATAATGGTGACAGGTTTGTATTGTTCTCCATTAGACTTCAGTTTAACACACTACTACTGAAGGTACCTTCATTTAATAGCACCTGTTTCATTCAAGCTGGTTGAAAATTTTTTGACTGTCAAAAAATGTGGTTTAGTTGAAATCAAAATGTTTCATGGGATTTTGATTTTGATGGGGAAAAAGTCAAAACTTTTGAAAATGTTTCATTCTAATGGTTTCATTTTGATCCATTTCATTTTTACTTTAATATTTTATTTTATTAAACATTAAAATATTAATTGTAATATTATATACAATATATACCATGTACTGTTAAAGTTGAAAATAAATTAATCCAAATGACACTATCAGAACAAAATGTTTCAGTGCTATTGAAACAAAAGCCTTCTGAATTTTTGTTTCACCGGAATGAATTTTCGACCTTTTTTTTCTGATTCAGAATGGAAAAAAATGAAATCTCAGAATTTTCCACACAATGGAAATTCTAGTTCCTGACCAGTTCTCGTGATCATCTTGTGTTTATTATATTATTATTAAAGTGTCTTAGTTGTGCTTCTCAATTTTCAAGAAATAAAGACTGAGGGTATGTCTACACTGCCCACGTTACAGTGCGGCTGCAGCTGCACTGTGACATGGGTAGTGTAGACTCCCCTTATCACTGGGGGAGAGCTCTTCCAGCAATAAAAAACAAAAAACACCCCGAATGAATAGTGCTTTTCAGCACTAAATTTTTTGTCGCTAAGGAGGGTGTTTTTTCACACCCCTGAACAACTAATCTTTTAGCACTGAAAGTGGCAGTGTAAACACAGCCTTAGGCCAAGTCTACACTATTGACCTATATCAGTATAACTGTTGCTTAGGGGTGTGAAAAATCCACATCCCTGAGTGGTATAGTTTTACCAACCTAATCCCCTGTGTAGACAGCATTGTGTCGCCAAGAGAGCATCTCCTGTCAACATATCTATCGCATTTCAGGGAGGTGGATTAACTAAACCGCTGGGAGAAGCTCTTAATTTAGGAGCGGTTTAATTTAAGCCCTACAGTGGTGCAGCATTTTAAGTGTACACCTGCCCTTAGTCTTTCCCCATTGGATGCATAGTCTAAAAGAGACCAAAATTAGATGGGGAAAAACAATAAGAAAGTACTCTAACATTGAGAGACCAATGACAGTTTAAAAAGACATGTGCATATGACATGTCTACAGAGATTAGAGATACGTTAGATAGGGAGCAACTTAAACTTTAAGTTGCCAAAGTATGAACAAACTTCAACTTGCTAGCTGCACTCTTGTGAGCTATTTTCTGCTGATTGTCATTCAAAAGATTTGGGTAAGTATGCAGCATATGTTACAAAAAACCATGAGGGACTTCACAGTTGTAAACATGTCATCGTTTGATATTACAATGAATTAGCAGGGAACAAGCCCAAAAGCTTATTAAAGACATTTTTCAAAAGATAAAAAACTTATGACAGTATTGATATGGTAGCTTCTTCGTAATTACATTCAGACATCTAGATACAAGCTGCAAATACATAGATGCTGCAATTAGATGTAGGGCCCTATGTAAATCATGATTTCATGGCAGGCATGGAAATAGTGAAAGTGCCACCAAAGCTCCTGTTATGTGATATGGGGACACAATTTAAAGATCTTTCAAAGGTGTTCTACCATTAAACTTCATGAAAACTGGTCATCTAATATTGTTAGTATTTTATAGATTGCCATATATACTACATGTGAAACATTTTTGGAAGAAATAATAAATCTAAGCAAAAGGCAAGATTCAGATTTCAGTCACACCAATGTAAATCCACGGTAACTTCGTCCATTTAAATTGTGGTTCTCTAGATTTGTAACTGAAGGTTGTAATGTGACCCAAATGAACTATTTTCCCCCAGAGGCGTTCACATTATTTAATTTTGACTGAACATTAAACAATAAATCAGTGGGATTAAACCAGATTGTTCAAACTAAAAGGTCTCACCATCTTGTTCTTTCTCACACACCTCTGGAGTCTTCTACTGTGTTTTGCATGTTGCTCATATGATGTTAAATACAGCCCAGCAATTTCATAGCAATGCTGATGTCTGAGCTCTGGAAAAACATGGTATGGGTTGGTCATGCTTGTGTTTGTCTTACCTATATGGTATTTGGGGACATATAAGTACCTTAGTTAGATGAACGGATAGATATTATGTGTAGCAAGTGAGACAGATGAAAAGATTTTCTCCATTTTCCCAATCTATTCATGTATTCATTATGCTGTTTTTGGAACGGATTTTCTGTTTGAAGTTAGCAAAATGAAGTATAAAGTTGTAAAACAAGAAGGGAAAAAATGAAAAGTTTGTTCTAATAGCTCATTGCTTTTCCTTTTATTTCAATCTAGGCTGGCCATGTCTGTGGAGATGACATAGATATAATTGATGGACGTCCCACTGGGTCCATGAGAATATCATTTGGCTATATGTCTACTTTTGAAGATGCACAAACCTTTCTAAAGTTCATCATAGCAACCAGGCTATCTGAATCAGAATTCAAGTTTCCCTCCCAAACCACCACAAGAGAGACTATTACACAGTCAGTCAAATCTCCAATACAGAATGACCATTCTGCCAACAACAATGCAAAGAAATTCTCTCTGAAAACTATTGTCTCAGACATGGGACACTGGAATAATTCATCTGCAGCATTGAAAACACCTGAGACTAGCAGGGCTGTTGTTTCTGAGAGTGCTATACCAGTATACAGAAGTGGGAGCAAGCCAATCACTGTCACCAACGTTTACCTCTACCCAATCAAATCTTGTTCTGCATTTGAGGTACAGTAACTCGTCAATTAACGTCCTCCCACTGAACGTTGTTTCAAAGGTACGTCGCTGCTCAATTAGGGAACATGCTCATTTGAAGTTGTGCGATGCTCCCTAATAACGTCGTTTGGCTGCCTGCTCTGTACACTGCATGTAAGGTTTTGTGGAAGAGCAGCCACTTTACAAGGGAGCATTGCACAAGTTCCTCTTCTCCGCCTCCTCCCCCTCCCTCCCAGTGCTTCCCCCACCACCAAACAGCTGTTTGGCAGCGCTTAGGACTTTCTGGGGGTGGGGAAGGAGTGGGGATGCGGCGTGCTACAGAGAGGAGGTGGAGTGGGGGTGGGAAGAGGTGGGCCTAGAGCATCCCCCAGCAAAGTCGGTGCCTGTTCTTCTCTGGGTAAGCTGCCACTGCTGCTGCGAAGGTGCTTCTTAGCGTCCTTGCCTGCAGTAGGCTGTGCCTATGTGGGGTAAGCCAGGAGCACTTCCCAACCACAGTACAGTACAGTATATAATGCCTTTTGTCTGCCCCAGAAAATTTCCTTGGAACATAACCCCCTGCATTTACATTAAATCTTATGAGAAAATTGGATTAGTTTAACATCGTTTCACTTAAAGTTGCATTTTTCAGGAACATAACTACAACATTAAGTGAGGAGTTACTGTATATATTTTAAATGAATTTTAGAGATTCGTTTGAGCCATCCCCCATTTTTTCCCCCATAGCTTCTCAGGAATATTCTGTGTTAAGTATAAGGCAATAGCAGGTGAGTATTAATCTTATTTCAAGAAGCAGTGCTCACTTTCTCAAAATTATACTGTAAATTTCCTGAACACTTGGATATTTAGTTTTTGAGGGAAATTCAATTAGACTGAAGTCATGGAATGCAAATTTATTAAATTTTCCTAACCTCCCCCCTCCAGAAAATCGTCATGTAATATGTATCCAAATGAATAGTTTGGATTCCGAAAAACTTGAATAAATTGTAGTCAAGTAATTAGTATGCTTATATTAAATGACACGTGATGGACTGCAAGCATTGATGGGTGTGCAGCAATTGAGAAATAACTTGATTAACATGTTATAATTGAGAAGAGGCTAATTTACATTACAAAGAAATGTTATCATTAAAAATGCATTTGCAACAGAAATATGACATTTAAGTGTTGCAGCCCTATTTGAAAGTTCACTCTTTGAAGATTTTAATTGCTTTTTTGCCAAGTTAATAATATGGTCACCTTAGCTGCGACTTTTTTTTTTTTTAAATAATGCATGATGAAATAGGTGTATGCGCTGCACATTGACCTAGAATCTGACTTTGCTTCGCACTGTGCTGTGGAGCAATTTAATGAATGTCAATAATGGTATAACTTTCCTTATGGAAACTTACCAGTGCGGGTCACTATCTCACATCTGAGTGAAAATTGGGGTCAAGCTTGGTGACAAATCACCTGTGTTTAAAATATAGCCTCTCAAATGATACGATAATCATATTTTTAAAATATGAGGGAGTTTAAAACAAAATATAATGAAGTATGACCATGGAAGTCAATTTTTATATAAACATATAAAATGTCTTGGTTTTGTGTATGAGGAACACTGCCATTAATTCAGAGGCACAGCCTTGGAAAATACAAAAACAAACTTTAATTACCTGTCTACAAAAGCCAAGTACACCCTGCATTTTATAAAAGAATGTTTTAACCTTAATTCAACTGCTGCAGTTTTTTGAATTGTATTATAAAAGCTCACTCCTGCCAAAATGTTTTACTGCTGCCTAGACGTCGATACACCAGGCAGGCATGCATAGGGTTAAACTGTGGCTTTAAGCCGTAGGCTGCTGTCAGGAGAGTTGTGCCACACAATAAGTCTCTGCTAGAGGATTTGGATGCTGTGTATCCAGGCACAGGCAGGAAGTATCTTGGAGTGAAAGGGTGCATTATGCATTTTTCCCACACAAGCAGGGCCAGATATCTTCCCTCCAAGCCCACTTTGGGGAGGCTAGCATCACAGCGGTGCTAAACTCATTCAAACCTTGCACTCCCCTGAAGAACCGCTATGTGATTGTGCCTGGCTCAGGCCTCCAGGGTTCTTTGCACTCTCACGATACCCGGCCTTCCCCATGGACCCCTGTGGTGCAGCACCTACTGTATATGCTTATAGACTAAACATATCTAAGTTAGCTGAGAAATTGCAGGTAGATTATGAAATTTTGTTAGCCTTGCCATAGAATCATAGGGTTAGAAGGGACCGCAAAGCTCATCTAGTCTAACCCCCTGCCAAAATGCAGGATTTGTTGTGTCTAAACCATCCAAGACAGATGGCCATCCAGCCTCCCAGGTTTATAGTCAGCTTTTAATAGTACTAGAAATGTAATTTATAGTTGTTTAGTATTTGACACTTGCACTGAAGCGGTGGATAGAGGCTCAATCAGCATCAGGTTCAGTGTGCTAAGCACTGTACAAATACAAATAGACGCAGGCCTAGATCCTCTGAGGTATTTAGGCATCTGCCTCCCATTTAAATACATTTGAGAATCTGAGCAATAAGGTGGATACACAATTAAGTATATACATGCTTTATGTGCATTAGATATTGGAGTTTATATATATCTAAGTTTCAGCTATCCTCACCTGTTTCTCAAACTAGCCAGCATTAATTGGTCCATTTCTTATACATGTCAGAGCAGAGATGGGGTCTGAGGAGGGACTGGTAGAAAGAGAGTAAAATGGCCTTGCTGATCAGTTCAGGAAGGATGTTTTATGCATAAAGAACAGCATGGAAGCAGGCCTGGATGGGAGGGTCAAGAGTTGAGAAGACCCCAGATTATGGGTTCCAGCCATGTGGAGAATGGAGGTCATATCAAGAATGACAGAGAACAGAGGAAAGGGTTTGGAAGCAAAGACTAGGAGTTTAGTGTTGGTTGTGTTAATTTTAAGTTGGTGATGAGACCGCCAGGAGGAGAAGTTAGAGAGGCAGGAAGAGATGTGGAATGGGAAGAAGCTAAGCAGGTCAGGAAGGGTTCTTTCCTTTCATTATTCTCATCATTCACACCTGTCTTCACAGAGTTCTTGCTTCAAAACTCTTAGAGACAGAACTAGACTTGTCACTCACCACTTGATGTGTAGGTCTGCCCTATGAAAAAATCACTCAATCAAATTTTCTGCCTGCAAAAGCAGTAAAAATAGCAACCCCCAGCTCACCATTTGTAAAAAGCCATAAAGGCTTACTGTCCTCATTTTATTACCAGTCCAGCTGAGGGTAAAATCTAAAAGCTATTGTTTATTTTGACATGGTATTTTTCAAGTCAGATGAGCTTTCTTTGGTTATCAATATTTCATGGAAGTCACTTAAATCCATTCTAAATCCAGTTACTGCTTGGCCTCTTTTCAATGGCTAGGAGTAGGACTGCAAGATGGAGCAGATACCTCCACACCCCATCTCATTGCTAATTGCAGAGTGAGTCACTCTCCCTAAGACTGTAGGGATATGTCTACACTGCAATTAGACATCTGCGACTGGCCAGTGCCAGCTGACATGGGCTCACGAGGCTCAGGCTAAGGGGCTGTTTAACTGTGGTGTAGATGCTTGGGCTGAAGCCTGAGCACTGGTACCCTCCTGCCTCACAATGTCCCAGAGCCTGGGTTCCATCCAGCCTGAGCTCAGATCTCCACACCTCAATTTAACAGCCCTTTGGCCCAAGCCCCATGAACCCAAGTCTGCTGGCACAGGGCAGTCGTGCGTTCTTAATTACAGGGTAGTGTGACAAAGTTCCTCCTCTGCCTTGGTGGGTCCTGTGCTTATTGGCGGATTTTCTCGCCTCAGAAGTTCACGGCAGCCCTCAGTTTGGCCACTTTCATGGCTCAAATCTGCTGTTCACTCAATTAGCCTCATCACTGGGCAGCATGGGGAAAGGAGAAAGAACAATCCCCGCAGTCTCTGCTGATCCACCTAGTGGATCGGGGAACAGGCCAGAGACCTTCCCCTCTGGTGGAACCCACAGTCCAGTTCAACTCCTCCAGTATCAGGTAGGGAGTTGGAGGGATGGGGGGAACCCAGGCCCGCCCTCTACTTCGGGTTCCAGCCCAGGGCCCTGTGGATTGCAGCTGTCTACAGTGGCTCCTGTAACTGCTGCGTGACAGCTTCAAGTCCCTGGGCTAATTCCCCATGGCCTCCTCCCAACACCTTCTTTATTCTCATCACAGGACCTCCCTCCTGATGTCTGATAATGCTTGTACTTCTCAGTCTTCCAGTAGTACGCCTTCTCACTCTCAGCTTCTTGCGCCTCTTGCTCCCAGCTCCTTGCACACACCACAAACTGAAGTGAGCTCCCTTTTTTAAAACCCTTTTTTTAAATGATTAGCCTGCCTTAATTGAGTCTAGCAGCTTCTTGATTGGCTGCAGGTGTTCTAATCAGCCTGTCTGCCTTAATTGTTTCCAGAAAGTTCCTGATTGTTCTGGAACCTTTCCTGTTACCTTACCAAGGGAAAAGGGACCTACTTAACATGGGGCTAATATATCTGCCTTCTATCACTCTTCTGTAGCCATCTGGCCTGACCCTGTCACAGTAGACATACCCTAAGTGTCACTATTGTAACTTCAGCCTTCCTCATTTTGAAAGATGAAAGGCTCAGATGCTAGACACATTGGTGTTTGAAGTGAAACATTCTAGAACTACCTTCCCAAAAAGGAATGGAGAAGGAATGAAATTTTGAAAACTAAATATGGCCTTTCAGATTGTCACAGGAATTCGATCATTCTGCATCTCTGTCATTTGTCACAAAAAAGTTAGCTTATACAGAAAATCACAGACTTTGCCAGTCTCCAGATATAGTGATCCTAGTAGTAGGGACTGTTTCAGTTAATGTTGCTGAACAATATCTGTTCTAATACCAGCCTTCACAAAGCTCATAACTTTCTGAAACGTTTGTCGTTTTGATTGAAATTGTCTATGCTTAGTCACTGGTTACAAGGTTCTATTTCTTTAGAATTTCAGTTCCATTTCAATTTTTAA